GAAGAGGCTGTACGCTGCTCTCCAGACAACTTTTCAAACAACAAGAGAGGATATTTGAGCACATCAGGTTCCGTGTCTTCATTCTGGGTGCCTACCCTTCACATTATTCCACCAACTTAATACATAAACGTATTTTTTAGCACAATATTAACCTGTTCTCTGTGTGTTGAAAAGCCTCCAACTGCAACTTTTTTCTCTCCCACTGTCCAAAGTGGGTTTTTCCCCATCACTTAAAAACAAAACAAAAAAAACCTTTCTTCACTCCCAAATTGTCGTCCTGGTGTGTGCCTTCAGTCTGTCTCATTACTTCTTGCATCCTGCTACCATGTTCTGCATTTGCTCAGAGCCACTGGATGCTAAGGAATTTGGTCTACAGCTCCTCCGGGAAAGTTTGGGGAGCTGGAACAAGGAAGTGATGAACAAGGCCATAAAACACAGGATAAATGAAAAAGATACATAAGCTTCCTGATATTTGTTAATATGTAGGCCATAAAACACAGGATAAATGAAAAAGATACATAAGCTTCCTGATATTTGTTAATATGTTCTTTAACATACTATATGTAGTGCCTATGTATATGTGACATAGCAAAATAAACCTGTTCACTTAATTGTTGTGCATTCCTTAATAAATATCCATCATCAGAAAAAACCTAGAAAGGAAAGTCAGGAAAGACAAAGAACTTTATTGCCCTGAGAATGTATAGGGGCTATGGCAAGGTTGCTGAGGTAAACAAAGGAAGCTTCATTAGGAGTTTAGTATCCTTATGTAGTTTTACCTAAGAATGCTGTCAGCATATGTTTCTGAAGCACTTTACATGTTACAAAGGACATTTGTAATGCCAGTCTCATTTGATATTGCCCTGGCTTTACTCAAGAACACCTGCTCAGAAATGTATTGGGTGAGTATGCAGTTGGAGAATGTGCCCCTGTTGGGCACATGCTGCCTTTGGCCTGTAAGCTGGAGTCCTAAAGAGGAAGGCCATGTTGATGAGCTTGAGGCCAGCATTGTGTACCATTCAACTGGGCACTTAATTTCTGATAAAGAGGGTCACAACTGGGAAAAACTTCAGATTTTACTTGCTACTCTTCTCCATGTTATTAGGCTCCTCCCCCACCCTGGAATTTTATAAGCACATGCCTTTTAAAACAATTAAATAATAAAGAGTGCTGGGATTTGATGCAGAATTGCATATTTGTAACTACAATGGCACTGGTTTTCAACTACCCTGTAACAAAGAAAGTAACCCAACCAGGAAAAGAGGCAGACTTGTTTCTTTGCAACATCCCAGGCATATGAAATTGTACATATCTTATTGAGATGCCCGAGTGATATAACTTAGAAATTTAACCAGAAATATTTTCCACCAGTGAACAAAGCCCATTTTAAAGTGATTAATGCATTTTTCAGATCTCTCTTTTTCTTTTTCTCAAAGTCACATAGTTTCTGATAGAGGAACACACTGGGGAAACTATGCTTGTATTTAAAAAATGAAATTTAACTTGTTATGAAGAGGCAAAGATATAAAATATAACAAAAATGTTTGTACTCTCATAATTTTCTGAAATAAAAAAATGAAATTTAAGACATAAAAATTCTGCATTTCTGATAAATTTGATGTTCCCTCTTTCCTTAATTTAAATAGTTCCCTCTTTCCTTAATTTAAATACCCCTATAGGGGGCATATTTTTTATATACATGTTATTTTTGTTTAGAAATTATGAGCTAATGAAGAGTGAAAATGACCTTGGCTATTATGCTTATTTATTGATAGAAATAATAGCCTTTTTATATCTGGATTCAAATCTCTTCTCTACTAATACACAACTTACATATATTTCAAAGAGAGGACTTGGATTGAATGAAAACAGGAGGCTGGAGCTTCTTACATGCCCCTGGGTTTGTGTTTGTACAGAATATTTATGCAATATCCTGACTTGGTCATAATCTATAATTCCTGGCTATTATTCCAGTTGCAGCTATAATTTTTAGATTAATGATTATAATTTTGGTAAGGCATATGTGAAAAGTTATATGCTTGTGCTTGAAAGGATCATTAAATATTCATTATTACCACTCAAATTAGTTGTCATGCTCTATATAACAGTTACCCATTATCATTTCACTAGTTTAGATTCAGCAATAAGTGAACAGAAATATATAACTCATAGCAGTAGAGGAATTTTTTTGTTGGGGAACAGGGAAAGAAATGATTTTAAAACCCATTTGACATATTTATGTTGACAAATTATTTAAAGAAATTACTGTGTTGTCAATAAACATGTTTGTATGTTGGAATAGGATTGTGTCTAGATTTGCTTCTAGCTGTTTAATTACTCTATGATTGTGAAAACAGTGCTTCCTCAAATAGTTATGAGGAAAAAATTAAAAATATAAAGGTTGAGATGTCTTTTGAAAACACCTAACCTTGCCATGAAAAAGCACTTTTCATTTTTCTAAGCAGGCATTGAAATCTCACTTTTCCAGCGAAGCTAGATTGTATAATTTGTTAGTTTTCCCTATCTGGTAACAAATCTATCCTTAAGAAAAAAAAGCCAAAAGTAAAACACGAGATGGGTTTTTATAAATGTTGTGAATGAACATGTATAGAGATCATATCTTGTCAGCCCATTTTGGAAAGATATGGAGTGAAAATAAATAAATACAAATATATCTTACTGTAAAAACATTTTGCTTTTTTTCTTCCATACACCAAGGTGTACCAGTTCAGTTATGTGAAGACATTAGGACAGCCACATATTTTTTTATCACATATATGAATCATTCCATTGTCTTCAGTAATTTTAAATTGGTTCTTTTCCCATAGAAAATAATCATAAATTTGATTCTGATCTCATCTAACTTTAGAGCTTTCTATCTTAAAAAGTCAAATTGTAGCTGATGAACAGATTTTGCATTTTTCCACATTGCATCTGGACTCTTCATAACGATGGTTTATTTTATCTTTTCTGCACAGAGGAGAGAAAAAATATATAGGTCCATGAATCAATCTAGATAATGGGGAAGGCTGAATGTAATAAATAATACAGTAACAACCCTAAACTAATGAGCTGTTGCTAAGGTACATTTCATAGGCTCATCCTCTATATAAAAAGTCACTAATAACCCCTTGGTGTAATCAGATGATAAAGCTTTGCCATAAGGCAACACCTGTGCAATTAGAACTGCAGATTCTTTTGCACGTTTCATTAATTTCAGGATTTTGTAAAGGCACAATGACTACACTAATAATCTAGTCTACTTGACTCCATGTCTACTGGAAACAAAGTGTCTAATTAGATAAAGGTAATTAATTAGAGATAAATGGAGCTAATCAGGCTCAGTTAACACTAATTCTCTGAATTAAGACATTTTGGGACACCTACCATCCCGCTGACTTTGATATTTTGCATTAAGAATACATTCTATAGGAGTCAGAAAATACCGGCATTTGAGAATAGAGCAGTCTTTTGATGGCATATTTAGGCATCTAAAGCTAAAGGAGAGTTTTCTTTCATATTGTGCTATTTCACCACTTATCTATTGCAGCTTAAAGAATTCACTTTGTAGTTATTCCAATCTGTGCTAGTCTCCATATAAATTTTAATAACCTTTGCTATCATTTTTATTATCTGTCTAGCCCACCAGTGGAAGAAAATCACACGTTGTTCTCTCTCTTAAATAAAGACTTAACTTGTTACATTAAGGAAATGTCAAGACTCATCAGCCTATATCCTAAAATTCTGATCCTTTAAAGAGAACAAACACCTAAAATTCTGATCCTTTAATTCCGATTCTTTAAAGAGAACAAACCTCTGCTTTGCAGTGTTGGACTGAAAAGTCAATGATGTGGGGGAAAGAGCATGAGCTTTGAAGTCAAAAGACCTGAATTCAAATTCCTGTTCTATTTCTTAGTAACTGAGTGGTCTTAGAAAGTAGCTTCACCTCTCCAAGTTACCTTGATCATAAACTGGAAATAATACTGATTCGTGTAATGCTGATACTAACTTTACGGGGTTGCTGTGAATGTTGAGTGAGGTGACTATATTTAAAGGTCGGTTATTATTACCTATTAGTCTGGGATTAAACACATAACCTAACACCATATCTTGACTGACTACAGATTAAATTTCAAATATGGTACATTTTCATCTCAACCCCATGATAATCTGTGAACTACATTTAAATGTATAGAAAAGGAGAGACTGAGAATTTTCTCCTAGTTAATCAGAAAAAGAGTCCCTAAAATTCTTTGCATGGAGAATGTGAATTTTTCTGCCTTGGTGTTCTATATTGAAATTGTTACCCCTCTTGGCAAGTTGTTCCCAGTCTACAAGGAATGGACAAATTGCCCCGGAAATGAACTGTGGGATATATATAGCTTAATCTGGAATGGATATTTGCATCTTTCTTCTACAGTGTCTCTGGAATATGCCTCTTCTTCTTTCTGGTCTTTGTTCTAACTTATCTGGACCACTCTTAGATTGTTCTAATAGTCTCCTAACTAGTATCCCTTCTTTCATTTCTTTTTCCTGTAATTCAGTGTCACCAAATTAATGTTCTTCATAGAACACTTTGCTTATTCTCTCATCAAGATCATAAGAAGATTGAGTCCTTGTTAAACTAAAATTCTGTCATGCAAGCAGTCAAAGCAGCCATGTCTGGTCCCATATTATTTATCCAGACTTATCTCCCATTGCCCTCCCTGCCAATGGAGCCTTTTATTCCAGCCTTGCCAGCCTTACTTCTCTTCACCACAGTCATCTCTCCTTTTATGCTCTCATCCAAACCTAGAAACTTCTCTCTTCTTCTTTCAAGACCTATTTCACATCCTGCCTTTCCCCCATGCCTCCCTTGACCACTGTGATCTAACAAGAGCATTCACGTTCTGAGGGCCCGCAGCAGCTCTCAGCGGTGCCGTGCCTGTCAGCCTTGGCTCCAGCAGTGTGTGGGGCGGCCATCCCTTCCCTGTCTTTCCAACACCGATGCGGTGTCTCAGGTCAGGAACCATATTCTGCTCTTGTGTGCTTTGCCTTGCTCACCATCCTCTCCCCACAAACCCCAGCTTTCACGGAGTGTGGCCTTCAGGGGGCACAACAAAACAACACATGTGTACCTTAACTGTGAGCTGTGGCCTGGCCTGGTCCTTGGGCACTAGTGTCTACATGACTTTTGTAGTAACTCTGGGACTTTTTGCCGACTTTGGGCTGGGTTGATCCCTGGGCTGAGCTTCGTGTTGGGAGACAAGATTACCTTGATGAGAGGCCTGCTGTATGTCCCTGAGGCTTTGTACCTGGCTCGTGTGGTGTTAGCCTTTTATAACATGCGATGAGGAAATGCCAGGAAGTGATCCTTAGTATTTCATGACAAGCAGGGTGTTTAGCAAGCAATGATACTGCTTTTCCAGTAAACATTTCAGAAAGGACTGGGCAAGCATGGGCTGATTAGCACTCATCAGAGACTGTGATAGTTAGTGGTATGTGAACTTGACTCGGGTATGGGAAGCCCAGATTAAACATTATTTCTAGATGTGCCTGTGAAGGTGTTTCCGGATGAGATTAGCATTTGTGTCAGTGGACTGAATAAAGCAGATGCCCTCCCCAGTGTAGGTGTATTGAAAACCTGAATAGAACAAAAAGGCAAAGGAAGGGAGAATTCACTCTGATTGCTTGAGCTGGACTATCAGTCTTCTGCTGTTGATTGGGACTTACACCATCAGGCTTCTGGTTCCCAGAACTACACCAGTGGATTTCCTGGGTCTCTAGCTTGCAGGCAGCAGATCATGGGATTTAGCCTCCATAATTGCATGAGCCAATTCCTTATAATAAATCTCATATATGGGTGTGTGTGTGTGTATATATATATATATGTGCACACAAATAGGAAAAAGATACACATATATGATAGATACACATATATATGTGTATCTATATCCTATTTGTTCTGTTTCTTTGGAGAACCTTGACTAACCGAGACCTTTAATGCAGCTTCTTAGTAAATGCTCAGTGCAGGACGTTTTCCACAGAGAATCCACACCAGAAAAATTGACACTCGTGGATTAGATGTCTATGTTGACTAATTGTGGTCATTGCAAAATGTCCACAATTTTTCCTTCCTTGTATCTGTGCCCTTTGATATACCCTACCAACACTCACTCTGAGCTTGGCCATGTGATTTTCTTTGGCCATTGTGACAATAGCACACATGTCATGGGCAGACACTTGAAAAATGCTTGAATATCATCAAGGTTTGCTCTCTGGTGGTTTTTTTTTTTTTAATTTTTATTTTTCCCAAAGCCAGCTCATATTCAATCTTTGGCAGCTCTTGAAACTCTGAGCCACCTCAGAATGAGCCTAGGCTAGTTTGCTAGATTATGATAGACATGTGGCCCAGGATCTCCCTTTCCCTAGCCAACAATCAGCCAACCCCAAAAGTAAAGCTGCCCAGCAGCTGATCACAGAAGCACCTGTGAGTGCAGACAAAACATGTAGAATTGAACCTAATAGTTATTGAATTAAACCTTAAGTTTTTGGGTCATGTGATACACAGCAGTAGATAACTGATAACACTGGCGTAGGCTATTTCACTGCTTAAACTTAGCAGAAATCCAGAGAACATAAAATATTTGGTCTCCACTCTTAGAAGATTAAGTAGGAGAATGATGGTAGCTTCAAGAGAAAACAAGCCTTCTCAGTCTTGAGAAATAAGAAAATGGGTTCAGTTTTCATCCTTTTGGGTTAGTATAGATCAAAGTTTGAGTCAGGACTTCTAGAGGGGTATCAGGATGGAGTTGAATATCTGTATGTAAGGGACAGCTGAAGTTGAGGGATAAGATGAGAACGCAGAGAAAGAAAGAAGACAGGATCATCTAGCAGGAGCTCAGACCAAGAACTGCAAGAAAGGTTGAGTGGTCAGCAGAGCAGATTGCTAGGAAGGGTAAGCATGACAATAGTAACACCTAATAGTTTAAGTGCAATTTATAGTTTACGAGGCCCATTTATATATGTCTCACTTTAATCCAGTGGGATAGAGAAGGTCAGGACCATTATTATGCCCATTTTGTAGATGACAAAACAGGTACAGAGCCATTAAGGACTTTACAAATATTAATTATCTAGTCAGATGGCAAATTCCAAATGTCTTAAAATCCATGCCATTTTCACCTACCACAGACTGCTAGGACTGTAGTTGAATCTGGCAATAGGAAAGTTATCAGCAATCTTTAAAGAAGCAGTTTCAGGACAGCTGCAGACGGGGAGGATTGTAGTTGAGTAGAGGTAAGATTGCATGGGGATAATATAAAAGGATATGGGAGGTAAGGGGCAGAATACTGCTGCACGGGAGGAAAATGACCTGATAGGGACGTGAGGGGATGCCAGGTTGGAAAGGAGAGCAGGGGTAATAAGCACAGTCGTAGATGGAATGGAAGGAGTCAGTGGAGAGAGAGACGAGGAACATGAAAGCAAGAGAGAAAATAAACAAAAGGGAAACTAAAAAGAGAATAAAAATAAATAAAAGAAAAAGAAATGAAATGTTTTAAGAAAGCAGTTTCTGTGCTTGCTTTGGCAGCACATATACTAAAATTGGAACGATACAGAGAAGATTAGCATGGCCCCTGCACAAGGATGACATGCAAATTCATGAAGCGTTCCATGGAAAGAAAGAAAAGAAAGAAAGAAAGAAAGAAAGGAAGGAAGGAAGGAAGGAAGGAAGGAAGGAAGGAAGGAAGGAAGGAAGGAAGGAAGGAAGGAAGGAAGAAAGGAAGAAAGAAAAATGAAAGCAAGCAAGCAATTCCTAAAGGAGTAAATGCCAGTATCTACAGTATAAGTGAAGAAAGAGCTTGGCGTTGGTAGGGGCTCAGAGACTGGCGGTGAGGAAGAAAGAAGGGAAATGACAGGGTGATTTTGAGAAAAGGGAAGGTGAGTCAGTTCACACCAGAATCTTCAAATCCTGAGATCATTTTTACTCCAAGAACAGTTTGCCCTCTCAGGAAACACTTGGCATGGATCTTCCTCTCTAATGAGACGACTGAAAGATTTCTGGAATTGCTTTCATAAAGCGTATCGTTCTCCCAGGCAGAAAGATTTAATTCTGTGATGGAAAAAGAATGTCTTGGGGTAAGGAGCCTGCATGACTATTCTGTGTGCATGCGTGCTGGGCAAGAGAAAGGAGTTCTGGGACCTGGGAGATTGGGCTCAGGGAATGAGGGCACCAAAATCACAACTGGTTATTCACTGCTTTGCCTGGAATCCAGCGTTGTCCTGAGGAGTGGTGCACATACCCTTTGTGTGAAGGAGATCTGAATTAAAAGCTTCCTTCTTTCTGAGTTCCTGGAAATTTACCATCAGAATGTCCTTCCTTCCAGTGACTCAAGTTTCCTGATTACTGCTTCAAGGGAGATGCTTCCGGGAGGAGTAACCTACTAAACTTTAGGTTATACTTACCTGAGAGCAGGCTTTGATATATGATGAGGATGAGGACAGATGGAGAAGAACTTAATAGAAAGAACAGAAATCTACTTGAATAGAATCTACTTGAATAGAAAAAACAGAAGCCTACTACACTGTTCACATGCTATTGCTCATGCAAGAAGTTCTGTGGATGCTTCTAAATCTCTCTCACTTTAATCCCTATCACTATCAAAATGACTCAACTACTCTCTCAAGGTGCCTCTGCAAAGTGCCTGGTACATCATCAATGCTCAAAAATACAGAGCACTAAAAAAAAAATAAAAAAAAAAATACAGAGCACTGATGATGGCTGGGTGTGGTGGCCTACACCTGTAGTCCCAGCTACTCCAGAGGCTGAGGCAGGAGGATTGATTTAGTCTGGGAGATCTGGGCTGTAGTGTGCTATGCTTTCAGGGTATCTGTGCTAAATTCAGCATCAATGTGGTGAGTTCCTGGAAACAGGGGACCACCAGGTTGTCTAAGGAGGGGTGACCAGTCCAGGTTGAGACCAAGCATGTCAAAACTCTCATGCTGATCAGTAGTGAGATTGCACCTGTGAGTAGCCACTGCAGTACAGCCTGGACAACATAGTGAGACCTTGTCTCTAAAAGAAAAAGTATGAATGAATGAATAGCTTCTCAACTGGTCTCTGTTTCCAAGTTTGGACCCCTACAACCCATTTGTTCTAATGATCTTTTTAAAGCTCAGTTTTGATTTATTTAGAGTCCTTCACGGTTCTTTGTTGCTTATAGGATCAAGTCCAAACAATGTTGCTTGGAATACAAGGTTTTTCATTATGCAACCTCTGCAGACTCTCCCAATCTGTCATACCACACAAAACACCACGTGTGCAGGTACATACTGGCACCTTCCTGTTAGACTCACTCCAACCATACTGAACGGCTTCTAGATCCATGAACACCTGAGATGTTTTAAACTGCACCCTGCCTGAGTTGTTTCTTCCTGAAACAACTCCTGTCTCATCCTGTGTCCACCTGGTAAAACATCCATGTCCTTTTGAGGTCAGTTTAAATGACTCCTCCTCAATGAAGCCTTCCATGAGTTCCTGAATCAAGGTACCAGCCTCTCCTACGTGCCTCCCCTGTATCTAGCTCTGCTCTAGCACCCGGCACAAATGAATGGCATACATTTGTGGATAAAACTAGATGATCATGTGCTTGGAAAGCAGGAGCATTTATATCTTGTTTTTCATTAATCTTTATACCGGCCATCTATTATGCTCTTAATAAATGTTTAATTGCGAATTTAGGCTGAGACTGCTTAAAGCCAAATTCCCTTCCTTCTTTCTTTTCCCAGGAATTGTCCTGGATATAGCATTACCTCAGTTACTTTCTTTGTAAAGCAAGAGCATAATTATAACCATGAATCATTTTCGTGTTGCTTAGCTAAGCATTTTGCCCCGGAGTGAAACCTGCAAAGGTCCATCCACTTCTGCTCTCTGGTCTAAGCCGAGGTCCAGTGCCTGAGAAGATGCAGCAGGCACCTCCATTCTCCCCATCATGAGGGCTTTTGGGCAGGAGGCCACCTC